TTGGGGAAGGGGCACGGGGACGGCCTGGAAACCTCCCCGGGGCTGCAGGGATGCAGGCCGATGCAGCAGCGCAGGAGTCCGCTTGGGCCCCGGGAGCGCGGAGGAGCCAGGTCCCTCTGGCCGGCACCGGAGGGGCTCACGTGTAGGAAAGCAGGTTGATATCGTAGCAGCCGTCCACCTGGAAAAGAGCAACCGTCGGTCCCTGCACAGCACCATCGCTCTGCTGGGACAGCCCACCCCAAACCCTCACCCCATCCCGCAGGGAGCAGCCCCCTCTGGGAGGGCTCCTCCAGCAGTGTGGCCAGGCCGGAGCACCCACAAGCAGGATGGCGGGACTCACGTCGAAGCGCCCGATGCGGGCAGCTGCCTGGCGAGCCCGGATCACCTCTGTCAGCACCCACATTTGCTGGACCTCCGTCGACACCTTCTCCGGGTCAGGGAGCTCCTGGAAAGAAGCGGGCATAATGCTGCGGAGCGGGGATGGCCCAGACGGGCTGGGACACCCTGGGCTCGGGCAGCAGTGTGGCCAGATGGCTGTGCCCCCCGGGGAGCCAGGCACTATCGCGATGGTGCCCACGCTCCAGACCTGCCGGTGGTTTCCCAACACGGGGTGAGCAGGGCCCCGCTCTAGGAAACGGGTGACCCTGAGGCCTGGGTGCCATGGTGCCGACACAGCCCGTCTCTCCAGGCAGGCGTCCAGGGCAAGGACAGAAAGCAGATCACTGGCTAATGATTAAAAACCTAATCGCACAGTCCAGAGTTTCCCAACAGCCTCTCTTCGCCACGCTCCCTGGGCCAGGCAGCAGAAACCCCACTGCAGGCGCCGGTTCCCCGCAGGGACCTTTAGCCAGGCGGGACTTGCAGGCTCCGCAGCAGCTCTCCAGGCTGGGGTGAAGCTCCGCACCACTTCTCCCCTGCCCCAGTATCCCCCCGGACCACCCCTTGCCAAGGGCGGTGTGATCCAAGCGATCATCAAGGGACCGGGGTGTCCAGCCAGACAGCTGGGCAGGGACCAGAGCTCCCAGGCCTGTCGCGGCTGGCAGAAGCCTTGCCGCCAACGCAGCGTAAGCTCCGTAGCACCAAAGCCTGGCGGCAGAACTGCCCCGGAGGTGCTGTGCGGCGTGGCCCTGCTCCTGGCCCAGCGCCCGTGGCTGATTCAGCAGGTTTCCGTGGGCGAGCCAGCTGCCTGCCCCTGCCCTGCTCTGCCCGGACTTTGCTCACCAAAGGCCGCCAGAGAGGCAGATGTGGCTCGCAAGCTGTAAACATGTGCCATGGCTGTGACCTCCCTCCGCCCGCATGCCGCCCCCGCTGGGCAATGCGCTCCCTGGGGTGCACCCTCTGCAAAACACCGGGGACCAGCCAAGCCACCCTGTCCCCGCGTGTCCCACCCGCCGCCTGAGCGATGCTGCGCACCCACCGCTCCCATGGGGACATTCCTGTCCCCAGACTAGAGGGCAGGTAGACTTAAGTGTCACCTCAAATCACACATCCCCATGGAGATATTTTTCTTCCGAACACTGCAAACTACCTCCAGCACAAGGCAGGTTATTGTGGGGCTCCGCAGCTATTCCTGGTGGGGGTGTGGAGCCGACGGGGCAGGGATGGGGCCGGCAGCCTCACAGGGGACGCTCCTGCCCGCGGCCGGCACCCCATGCAGGTCCCTCCTTCCCCCTAATACCTCAGCGAGGATCACTCACCCCGTGTAGGCTGGCTGGCTGCTCTGGAGGAGTCAACTGGGAGAGCCAGGAGGGGAAATCTTTCTGGGGGCTCTGAAAGAGATCCAGAGGGTCACACAAGAGTGTCCCCGATCCCACCTCCATCCCCGCCTGGCAGGGAGGGCAGCACCGGCCCCCGCTCACCTTCTGTCTGGGAGGGAAAATCTGCAGCTCCTCAATGGTGAAGTGGAGCCAGACCGGGGAGGGCTGCCGCAGGATGAACCGCACCGCTGTTACCTGGTCCACGTCGCACAGCATCTGCTGGGACAAGGACGAAGGGAGCTGTCACCGCAGGGGCTGGCCAGGCTGGCGCTGCTCCGGGGCAGCTTGTGGGATTTCCTCCAAAAAAGCCCCAACCCACCCCAGATGGAAGGAGCCCAAGGGACGTGTCACCTCACGGTGGCTGGCTGGGCAGAGCCAGGCACGGGCCGGACCAGCACGGGGACCCTCGCTGCTGAGAAGGGCTGGCAGGGGCAGGAGAGCCGCTGCCGTGGGGGCACGGTGGGACATCGGCACGGGGCCCCAGGGCCCGGGAGCCGTCCCGGGGTGTGGGCAAAGAGGGGCGAGCCCCAGAGGCGCGGGTGACGCCACGGTCACCGTCCAGCCATGCCGACCTGGTGGCGGCGGAGGGAGAAGTAGTCCTGGGAGCCCTCCTCGGTGTGCGGGCAGGGCATCAGGCAGTAGTCCCGCAGGCAGGTCACCCACCGGCGGGAGCCGCTGGGGCCGGGGCGCTGCACCCGCACGCTCAGGAAGGCCGTGTAGAAGTTCCTGAAGACGATCTCCTGCACCTGCGGGACCGGCGGCCTCAGCCCCCGCACCGGCAGCCCCCCTCCCCGTACCGGGACCGCCACCCGCACGGGCATCCCCCTCCCGTACCACTACTGGCACCGGCACCCCTCCCGCCCCGTACCGGTACCGGCACTGGCGCCCACATCCCTCCCGCCCTTCCCCTACTGGGACCGGCACCGGCATCCCTCCCCCCCCCGTACCGGTACTGGCGCTGGATCACCCCCCACGCCGGTACCGGTACCAGCACCAGCACCCTCCCGCCATACCGGTACCAGCACCAGCATCCTCCCCCCTGCTGGGACCGGCACCGGCATCGCTCCCCCCATACCGGGTCCCGGACCGCCCCCAGCATCCCGCCCAACACCGGTACGGGTGCTGCCCCTGGTAACGCCCCGGCACCGGCACCCAGCCGGTACCGGCACCGCCCCCGGCGTCCCCCCTCCC